AAACAAAGCGCCTCTGTGGCCAGCCGGCCCACCATTCTCCTGGAAGCCGAACAGAGGTCTGTCTTTGTGAAAGATGGCCCTCACAGGAAGGCAACTGTGTGCTGGCAATGGGGCTCAAATGTCTCCATTTCATTTGCTCCCTAAAGTGCCATTTAGTATCGTTCACCAACCTGGGGGGTCACTTGGGTTTTCTGTGATTAAGGCTGCCCATGCCTGCATCTACTGGCTTGTGTACAGCTGGGCTCTCAGGCAAGTACAAGACAGGGACAGGGGAAAGACTTGTCTTCAAGACAAGAACACATCCTCCCTGGCATGGTGCATAGGCTCACCCGGAGCTTTCAGGTAAGTAGACAAGTGATTTAGACTGCTTTGTGAGCTGTGGCATCAGGTGGCTCATGTTCAAATCTCAGCTCCACCTCTTTCTAGATCTCTTCTTTTCTAGGGGTGACAATAAGGCCCGGCTTCCTTGATCAAATTGTTTAGAAGGAAGAGTCCTATAGACAAAACTTGGAGGTAATGGCAGGAAGGAGGATCATGTCCATAGCAGACACCCCACATTCAGGCGGTAAGAAAAAGAAGGACCCCTGGATCCACAGGTAACTCTTTGTTAAATGCCATCATTGAAGTGTTAGTTCAGAGAAGGGGCCAGGCACTAAAGAAAGCATCATGAAAGGATCCACAGGATAGGAGCCAGGAGGGAATTTGATTAGAAAGACAAGTGGATAGCTCAGAGTATATAAAACAAGAGGCCATGGCCTGATCACAGCTGTCTTTACAGGCTGTGGTCCAGCTACTCCACCTGTGGCTAGGTCTCAACAAGAGGAAACCCAGCCAACAGATCAGCTTCTAGGTCTCAAAGGTGTTGGCATTGGGATGTAGCCCCATCTACCTCTTGGACATCCCTCTTAAATTTTGCTAGTCCCTCTGTTAACTTCAAATCTTATCTCCATCTATTTTTTCAAACACCAAACAAGTCAATCATTCAAACACAAAAGATCCAACAGACCATACAATGAACAGTGTCTCCCATATTTGCCCCAAGTCCTTGGCCCCAGAAACAAACAACATGTTACCAATTTGGGGGCATTTATGAAATAATCTACACATGTATAATCATTTGTTTTACTTGTTGGAATAGCATGTGGAACATTGTCTGCCTCTATTTATGTATTATTTATTTACTTATTTTTTTTTTACTTATTTACTTATTTATTTCCAGGGGAGATTGCTCTCTTATTTCATTTAATTTTCTTGGAAAATTCTATACTGGCATATAGGTTTCCTCTTATTTATTTGAGACAGGATTTCCTTATGTAGCCCCAGATGGCCTGGTGCTCTGTAGATCAGGCTAGCTTAGAATTTAGCAATCCCTCAACCTCTGCCTCTTGATTACAGCCATGCTCCATCATCCTCTTTTTAAAATGACTGATACCTACATAGGTTTTGGTACTTTAGATACCGTGGAATTATATCATAAGATCGTGTCAATGTAAGTATCTGAAAAGGTCAAGCTTTCCATGGATTCTAGACTAACAGCCACTAACATTTCAATAAGCCCCTTTGCTCTAGAATCCTAGGTCTTACTTTCCCAAAAGCCCTGTGATTTATCCAAACAGATGTATGGAGTTAAGACCATACAGCCTTCGACTGCATGTTAGCACCTAGCCACTCCAGCTGGCTTGGAAGAGAATTCCCAGATGGACCAGGTGACAGAAAACTGGTTTAAAATATTCTGTAACAAGCACACAGAGTCAATATTAGTTTTAGGTTGAACCTGATTTGCTAAATCCTTCACTGTAGTTCAATTTTTTTTTTTTTTTTAAGATTTTTTGTTCTCAAGTGAACTATTTTAAGTACAAAACAATTTTCTAAAACAGTTGGGCTGGACAACAGTAGAGCAACTATGTTACGTGATCTAACCTGATCTACACTAACACTGACCTTACCGAGGTACCAAGAACTCAGCTCCCTGGAAAAAGGCACTGCCCATCCAAATGCCTGGGTAGTAGTGATGAGGTCAGTCAGGTACTGACACCGAGCAGGCTGCTCCTTTGGGTCTCAAGTTCATGCTGTGAGATGTAGAAGAGCACCTGCATGGGACCACTATTGATTTGGCAAGTCAAAACAGAATTCTGAGCTGCCTTCCACGCTTTTCCCCTGGCTAAAGCTATGGGACAACTTCCTAAGTACACTGGCACTCAGCTCTTAGAAAGCCAGGGGATCTGTACCGAAAGGGTGAAGGAGGAGCTGGACTCCGGCCCCCTTCATCAGTTCAGTGGGTTTGAGAGCGGTGGGAGTCAGGTTTGCAACTCATGGTTGCATCTAAGAAGTTCAAGTTCAAGGACTGTCCAAGAGAGTTGCAAAAGTATCTCATAGAATCTTGAGTAAGTTTGTGATCTTGTTGAGACCCATTCACAGCTATTCTGGGCACATGAGGCTATAGGGTACAGGCTAGATGCACTTCCTAGCTCAGGGTCATGTGATGATGTCCATCACCTAATTCTGGAATCAGTTATCACTTCCCATGTCTGTTTAGAGGACAATTGCATAAGGACTTTCCACAGTGGTCTTAACCAATAGGTCTCCAATGCCATGAATTCTAAGGAGGCCTAAAGCACAACTCAGGGCAAGGATAGGTTGGCCAACTGTCCGAGGTCATATGGGGTCTGGGGAACCCAGGAGTTGACCCAGGCCTCTGGCTCCAAAGTGTCATTCTTCAGATGTGCTGGTTCAGCTTGCACAGAGGCCTGTTAGCCCAACTACTATGCGGGCCTGAGCGTCATTCCCTGGAGTGAATGAAACTGTGAGGCACAGGGAAAATATAACCACTTCAACCTCAGAGACCATTTCTGAGTGGACTAGTTAAGTCACAACACAATAGAACACCCTCTCTTGAGTGGTTCAAGCCCCCTTAAAGGTAACTTCACAGGGACAGTTAATCTCGTCTTTAATGCGTGACTCAAATACTTGATCAGTGAGGACTGACTGTCCTTTAAGGCAGGTAGCTTTAGGACTGCCACAGGAATGATGGCACAGGGACATTAGGGATCAGTGCCTAGTTAGAACTTGTGACCTCCATGAAGTTTGCGGCCATAAACCAATCCTGATTAACTTCCCTGCGCCTCAGAGGCCTGGGACAAGGCAAACAGGCCTTCCTGTTTTCACTGTGGGTTTTTCTCCCACACAGCATCATCCTTCCATGGTCTATTTCTCAGTCACCAGAACTTATCACTAGAACGCTCTGTTGTTCCCACCTCTGTGACTAAGTAGTTAACTCACACTCTGACCATCTGGGATCAAATATCTAACCCACACTCAACCAAGGCCATTCTTATGGCATGTTGTGTCTATGAGGCAGGAGTGGGTGACATCAGTAAGCTCTGACTCGCTTCCCAGTCAGTCAAGACTTTAGTCAGTCAGTCCCGTCCACTAAGACAAAGCTGCTCCATACACACTTACCCTTCCCCGGCAGGAAAGGAGCAAAGTAGATTCTAAATGTTTCCCCTGCACGTTTATGTCATGGCCAAAGAATGCTAGGATTCTTATTCATCCAGCATTGGAGAGCTTGCAAGGCTTATTGGGAATGTTAAAAAGCCAAGAAATGTCACCCATTGAAACCAGTTAACATTAACAGCTTGAGCCAGATCCCAGGATGAGTGTCAATAGCAGCATCCCTCGGTTTATGTGATCTTGGAAAAGACCTCACCAGGGCTTTAAAGCACACGTAAACGGGACAGATGGACTCTTCCTCAGAGGCTTGCTGTGACAACCATCAGATGCAGCTCATGGTGAGAGGAACCGGCCATGTCCTCCCTCCCCTTGCTGGACTTTAAGAAAGGCAGGCTGGCATGGTGAGGGAAGGCAGGTTTAATGTGCAGACTACACATCACCAAGTCCCAAAGGAGCAAGCATAATCTCCGGCCTCAACCCGTCAGGTCCTTTGCACGCTGTTGTCTGGCTCGGGCAGGTCTGAGTTTGCCGCTTTCCAGTAACTAGTGGAGACAGTTTGTAATGCTTTTACTTCAACACCTGTATGTTCGGTGTGGGATCCAAGTTAACTATCACCTCAAAGACCTCAGTTTACTGACAACACTCAGTGAGACCGCCTGAATGGCACATGGCTTGAAGTTAGTCCAATTAGAGTTCCATGAACAATCCAAGTGGCAAGTATCCTTGAAAGCTGAGGATGGAGAGCACATTCCAGTTTCTCCGTGTCTCATGTTGGTGAGACCTTCCTTGATGAATGGAGAAGAAAACACTTCCTATTAAAGTTGAGAATGAAGCAACCTTTGTTTATTTTTTGAAAGATAAACGCGTCTGATTCGCACTATTCATAACATTCCGAGGTAAACAATATCTAACATTTCTCATCTAAATATAAATAATACCACGTTGGACTTACTGGGTTAACCAAAGTCAAAGTTGGAAATGAGGAAAGTAGATAATGCCTGTGGCATTAAAGGCTCAGATAAGGTATTTGATTCTGAGAAAATTAAAACCAACGGGGATGGAAATGCCTAGCAAGGAACTCAGTAGAGACTAACATGTAAAGGCTTACATATACATGTTTACATGTTTGATTTGACACACTGAAATATTTTTCAGGTCCTCAGTTATGCAAGGCATATTAACAAAATGTAAGACAATTAAAAACCAGCATTTGAGAGTCTGCTGTGTTGTTAGGAATAAACGCAAGACCATAATAGTAGCAGGGAAGCCTGGGAAAAAAAATCTCGTCACCACACTGTTCCAGCCAAAGTGCTCTGATTTGCTTCACTTGTGTGAACTGTGCCTTCAGATACAACCGCCTAGAAACCTATGCATGGCTGTACTACCGGTCTCACTGCGCCATGGCTACAGCCCATAAACAACTCACTGCCGGCAGTTAAAACAGTAAACCAGGCTCCAGGGCGCACGCCTCTGTGCTCTACGCCTCTGTGCTCTACACAATTACATATCAGAATTTCAAACTCAAAAGAGAAATAAAGACAAATGAGGGCTCGAAGGGCATGATAGTTTATTTAAAAAACAAAAACAACAAACAAAACAAAACAACAACAACAAAAAAGGTACCACACTGATCATGACGACCAGCATACACATAATGGCTTTTCTCTTGGGTATTAACATCGCAGTATTTTTAGATACTGAAATGTTTCAATAGAACCAAGAACGTTAAAGAATAAGAATCTTGGATGAATATGGACACTAATAACTCCTGTGCTTTACCCCACAGAAACCATTTAAAGTCCCATGAGTCAGTGGCATTATGCTATGTGGTTAGGACACAAACGTTCTCTCAGAAGGAGGCAGCATGAACTTATACTTCCTTTACTTTAAGCTTTAGTTTTTGTCATTTAAGCTATGTCCACCCTGACTAAAGCACAACCACACAAGACACCTCAGGTAATTTCCTTGCTACTATTGCACAAGTTTAGTAATTTACTTAAAAAAAAAAAATCAAACCACCATCAAAACAGAAAGGGAAATAAATGTGACTTTCAAATCATGTGAGAAGCAGAGAACTTACTTGTCCAGTACCAACTCAAACTTAAATTAAATGCTATCGTTATAACCTCCAAACTTCTGCAATAAAATTAATTTTTAAATACATATGGGCTTTCTTTATCTAACTGTACTTTGCAATCAACAAGAGGAAGTTGTTTTTTAAAAGAACACGGCTTCTGGTGACGGCCCCACACGCCTGTGGTAAAGACAACACCATGTGATGTCCGGCTCTAAGTTCTGAAGTGTAAGAATTTGACCAGAGATCAAAATTATCATAATCTGGCCGGGCGGTGGTGGCGCACGCCTTTAATCCCAGCACTCGGGAGGCAGAGCCAGGCGGATCTCTGTGAGTTCGAGGCCAGGCGCAATGCTCAGAGAAACCCTGTCTCGAAACCAAAAAAAAAAAAAAAAAAAAAAAAAAATTATCATAATCTGTTCTTAATAACTCAAACCATATGTGATTACTTCATAGAGAATAAATGTGCTGTTGAGTAATTATCCCAGTAGCCTTTCCTTTCTTGACCTTTCTGCAAGCTGACCCTTTCATGTCAACGGCTCACCCCTTGGAGATTGGCCTCTGTACCCCATGTTGACATTTCAGTACCAGGGATTCTGGGGTAGCGTTAAGTGTAGTTCACAGGGACAGTAGATATGGGTGCTTCAACCTTCAGTGACAGCTTTTACATCTGTAAACTCAAGAATCACATTATTTAGCTCAGCAACTACAAAATACATTGAGATTTGGGCACTTCAAGCCAGAATCTCTTTGTGCTTTTTAAACAAAGCTGCTTTTGAATTTTTTTTTTTTTTTTTGGTATTTATCAGTCATTTGTAGTTCCCTTATAATAATAAAAGACTATATTTAAAATAATTTTTAATGTTAAATGTTCTGAGGGGGGCTTTATCAATATTTAGTTTTTAAAAACACAGTATAAATCAGTATTTTTTTTTCTTCAGTACTGGAATAGGAGAAATTATTTCTGGTCCCTCCTTAAATCAACCAACACATCTCATCTCGTAGAACACTGAAATTTACAGACATCCCTGAAATTTTTTGATTAAGTAAACGAGTGAATCACAGTGGAGTCTCATTCAGTTAACAGTGTAGATCCATTTAAAAACAAAACAAAAAGCTGAACATTAAAAGAAAAGGTCAAGCTAAAAAAAAAGAAAAGAAAAGACAGAAGGAAGCCCTCCCAAGAACTAAGAGCGGGTGTGCTGTCTGTCACTGTTTCTATACTTTATCTCCAACTGATCGGATTCCTCCTTCCCCATGTGCTCAGGGCATCTGCTGAAATCGGCGTGCCCAGTGTGCGGGACCCTTGAGTTGGGAGGCCATGCTACGACAGGCGTGAGAGGCCATGGGACACCGCCTCTCTCCCCATGAGACTTCACATCCACAGACGGCATCGCGTCTCTCTCCTCTGTGGCTGCCGGCGTCTTACCGGACGATGCTTCCTGTGATGGCCACGGAGTCTTCTGCCCGCCTGCCCGCCCGCCCCAAGAAACAGGAGGTTTTCAACAGTTTGTCACCAACGCGCCGGCCTGTCACTCTCCATCAGAAAGGTGGGGGCTTCAACAGGGGTGGGACAGAAATGAAAACAACCAGTCTAAAGGCACAAAGTCGCATAGCTGCTCTAGTTGGAGTCTGTAAACAGAGAATAGGTTGAATTTAGGTAATCTCGATCTATGAGAATGAAAAGGCATCCACAGCAGGCTTTTATCCAGCCAGCTTCTTTGAGACTCTTCATGGGTTTTGAGGTCTACAAAGTATACACTGATATACCCATACTTCAGAAAGCAATAAGGCAAATAGTATAATCATTATCCAAAAGTTACAATGGTAGTGTAGGCATACATAGTATAATTTAGTTACAAAGTGTGGTACTGTTTCTGCTACATAGCCATATTAACTGTTTCTTTCCTACATAATTATATATCCAGCTGGGGTTCAGTGGAACACAAATCCATCCTTGTACCACCACCTAGAGTTGGCAACAGCTCTTCTGATTCCGCTGCAGAAACTATCCTTGGACTGGAAACAAGGGCAAAGTCCTGTGTCCAGCCTCTAGACGCTGTCGTATTTGTGAAGAGCTTCTTCCAACTTCTGGGTCACTTTTTGGAAAAATATTATTTGTTGTTGTAAAAAATGCTGCATCTGTGATTTAAAGTCTCTCACTCGAATCTGATGGAAGTGATGAATCTCGGCCAACGTGGCGAAAGAAATGGTGTTACAGCGGTCTTGGATGCCGTCAGCTTTCTGGACTTCCATCTTGCCTTCTTCCACATGTCGCCTACTCTCCTTCACTTTGGTAAGAGCTCCTGCAGTCAGAGAGAGTAATAATTAAATACAGAGATGCACACGAACCCCAGTGACATCTGAGTATCGCACAGGAACTCAGGTCCTGTCAGTACTTGTCTGAACTATTTCAACATCCTTTGGAATAAAAGCGGTCACTGTAAATACCAATTTAAAAAGCAGCCTGGCTTCTGGAAGCTATACCGCGGCTCCAACTCCACTTTCCCAACCAATGTCTTCCACACTGAGCAAACCTCTGCAGTACTTCTTGAGATGCTATACCTAACAAAAAGGTGTGACAAGCTGTTCTTTTACAGAAAAACCCCGAAGCTGCAGTGTTCATGTTTACAATGTATGAGACTAAACACTCATGCCAAACCACACCTCAGAAAGGATGAAATCCCCTTTCCTGAGAGGATCTCCCTAATGAGTTATTCTGTGGAGTCAGAACCCGTCCCTGAAGTATGTCAGTGCCAACTCAAGCTGGCTCTGGAAATCAAGCCCCGGTGGGGGGGGGGCTGGGTAGTGTTGCCAGTGGACAGTGAGGCTGTAGGGCACCTAAGCCCGTGCCGGGGTTCACCCAGAGACCATGCCTGACAACAGGGTGATACGCATGTGTGCATATCCTGGAGCACCTTCTCCTGGAGACCACACATGGAACACCAGCATCTCCAATGATTAGAATGTTGCATCTTCTCCAGACTACTGGGCCAGCGGGTTTTCTGTTTGCTCTGTTGACTGCTTCAGAAGGTCAACAAAAGAACCACAGCTTTTTATCTAAAAACTTCTCCAGAGTGCTGCGGGGGGTGGGGAGGGTGGGGGTGGGGATCAGTCATTTTGGCAGGTGTCACACATGGGTGGGCTCTTCCCCCAGAAACACGGGCCACATACGGAAGGCTGGGGAGACAGGAAATGACGGTATCCACTGGTTCCCAGGGTTAAACAATGTCGACGCTCACATGGCCTGGACACGTTTTAGCAGCTGAAGAATAGAGGTGGTCAAAGGCATCTAGAAAGCACGCGGCTAAACACTCCAAGAGGCCGAGACTACAGGGTACTGGAGCTAGGAGCGGGAGCCAGCAACCTGTGACTGGGACACCTGGGGAGAAAGGCAGCCTTTTCAGAGTGAGGGAGCTCGCTTTTACCCTAGGAGGCCATCCCTGTTTCTTAAGTCCTTCAAATCTGCAAATTAACAAAGCAAACTAGTCTGAAACAAAGATTAAACAGTGTGCTTTTCAAAAAATGCCATGCTAAAAATATTTGTGGAATAAAACCCAGGACCTCACATATACCAGGCAAATGATCCACCACTGAGCTCCTGTGTGCCTCCCCCTCCCTGCCCCCCACTTCAGCACTATACAAAGATGGGAAATGGAAAAAAAAAAAAAAAAACCACCAACAGCAAATTTTATGCAGAGAAATGCATGTCTGTGGAGGAATGCACATACCCACGTGTTTTTCATGTATTCATTCTAAATGAGATCTTTCACTGAAATGGGCAGGGGCCCAGAGCAGCAGGGCATTGCGCAGCAGGGGCAGACATCCATTCCTGAATCATCTGGCCCTGCCATGGGCATCATCATCATCATCATATCCCCCCCCCCCCGCCACTGAGAGAAGGATGCTCTGCTGGGCAGAGAGGCAGCTAGGTCCCAGGGGCAACACATGGTGTCAAGACTACCCCTGCCCAGCTAAGAGCTAAGGCAAGTACCAGACTTTCGACATTTCTCCTAGTCCGCAGTCCCAGTCAAGTCTTAATATTTGACTGCTCCATATTATGTTTTGTTTTGTTTTGTTTTTTTTGAGACTGGCTCTCACTGTAAACTCCTAGCCGGCTTGGAACTCCCTCTGTAGACTTGGGGAGGGGCGAGCGTGAACTCACAGAGTTAGGTTTGCCTCTGCCTCCTGAGTATAGGAATTAAACGTATGCATGTTGCCCGGCCCTTCCTGCTCTATATTAAAAAGGTTGCATCCACTCGCGTGCCTTTTGTAACATAGTGTCTTAGTTATTTTTATGCAGGGTTCCAGCTGACATGGAGAAAGACCAGAACACTGAGAGGCAACACTCTAGAAAAAAAAATATTTCAAGAAACAACTAAAGATATAAAAATCCATGTTTTAAAATGGCAGAGAGAGAAGAGGGAGAGGTCTTGGTGATTTGACTGTTTTTTCCATTCAATTTCGAGCTAAGGAACCTCTGGAAGCCACAGTCCAGGGTTCAAACACAGAGACAAGCTCTACCACTGGCCACAGTGTGCTCCCGGGTCTGTACAGTGCACACCCTCCTGCTCAGGTGCCGATGCAGTGTACAACGGTTGCTGTCTCACGGTAACGTTCTTCTGGCTCTTCAGCCGTGAGAGACTGAGTCACGGCCCAGGGTGCATGAGCGCCCCCTAAGCTGAAGTCTAGGGAATTCGGAGCAGTTAGAAGGTTAAGGCTTCCATGTGTGAGTGTTCAAGGGGCCAAGGAAAAATTCAAGACCGAGTTTTCTGCCACGTGTAACTCTACTAAGTAGTAACAGGGCTGTTATATTTACAGCCCGTGTAAGGGCTTCAATTCATTTAAGGACTACTGATGGAGAGCCTAACATGCCTAACGTGTTGGCTTGGTGGAACAGGTAGAATCAAATGTGTACTCTAGCCCACCCTCTTGGGCTCACCAGGAAGCCATGTGGCAAGCACACTCAGCCGCGAAGTGCAGAATTCTGCATGGGAGTCGGATGTGCCTGCCCAAAGGTAACACGGATTACGTCATGACAGAAAAGGCTGCAAGGACCAGCTAGAGGCCATGTGCTGTGCCAAGGGTAGTGGGGTATAAGAACGGGGCAGATTGGAAGTAGGCAGACAGCAAATGGTCACTGCCAAAAACAGTCCTAATACATGCTAGGCACCGTGCGCACAGCCTCTAACCTTGCCACAACCTACGGCAGCTACTACCCCTACCCGAAGAACAGAGAAATTAGAGTTGCTCGCCATGTGATCCTGCGTCACCAGGTGACCCTGGAGAGGCTGAGGTGGGATCTGAATGAGTAACTGATTTCAAAGAAAACACCCCAAGCATGCAGAAAAGGAACTGGTGCCTGAACGGGCAAGAAAAGTGGGCTTGGGGAGCCAGTCCTGGGGCAGGTCAGACTGCTGTCTCCTTTCTCACTTTCCTTACAGTAGCTGGGGGAGGGGAGAGGAAGGGAGGGAGAGAGAGAGACTATGAAGTTTGTATGGGAGTGTGGCGTACATGTATGGTAAATGCACACATGTGCAGATTCCCTGTTCTATCATTCTCCACCTTACTGTGACAGGATTAGCTCACAGAACTTGGAGCAAGGCAAGAGGCTAAACAAGCCCAGTGACCCTCCTGTCTCCTCCCCTCCCAAACCACTGGGATTACCCTCAGGTGAAGCCATACCCAGCCTTGTGAGTGGATTACCACCAGGTGAAGCCATATCCAGCTTTGGGAGTGGATGCATCCTCATGCTAACTCTTACACAAAGAACCATCCCCCAGCCCCCTGGCCTTTGTTTCGCCATGTAATTCAAGAGGCATTCTGAATGTGAAAAAGAAGCTATTTGTTTATGTTTGAAAATTTTCCTTATACTAACCTAATTCAATTTACTAACCGAATCTGTAAAACCTTTTGTTTTTATCTTAAATACTGAAAAAATAAACACTGCAGTATTTGAAAATCTAAAACAAACTCAGACTAGAGGGAGTTCCGTGTTTTTGTTTTTCCTTTTCTTCTTTTTTCTCCATCTACTTGGATACCGTGGAAGACGGCATCCACTGTCAGTTCCAACCCAAAATATTAACACATAGCTGCTGTAGGAATGTATGTTTATCTGACGGGTAAACTGGAACATTCTGGCAAAGAAAACACATCACTATTGTGAATTAAAGAGGACGGGACAGAGCACTGGAAGATGAATGCCAAGACTTTCAGTGTGACCCACTTAACGAAATTCAAGTTTGCTGCCACAGCACGTCAAGACTGCAAGGCAGAGATGAGCAGGAGGTGTGTCTATGAAAAATGGGTCTCCTGTGCAAGGGGTGACAAAGCACGCATGCCTGATACATTGAGAACATATAGACAGTACGTGACGGCATTGGATTGCACACTGTGAGCGTGCAAACAGAAAGACTAGTGGGGGCCGTCTGTGCCGTCAGGGGGTGACGCCTCCACCACGGTGGCCGAGGCAGGATTGTAAATCCCAGGCCACCTGGGACACACAGTAAGACCCTGTCTCAAACTGCACCACTCTGTCACTCATGATGTAGAGCAAATCTTTTTTACATGACCTCTTGCTGTGGATATCGCTCTGTATAAATAAAATGCTGATTGGCCAGCAGCCAGGCAGGAAGTATAGGCGGGACAAGCAGAGAAGAGAATTCTGGGAAGTGGAAGGCTGAGGCCGGGAGACGCTGCCAGTCGCCGCCATGAGAAGATGTTAAGATACCGGTAAGCCACGAGCCATGTGGCAACTTAGAGACTAATAGATATGGGTTAATTTAAGATATAAGAACAGTTAGCAAGAAGCCTGCCACGGCCATACAGTTTGTAAGCAATATAAGTCTCTGTGTTTACTTGGTTGGGTCTGAGTGGCTGTGGGACTGGCGGGTGAGAAAGATTTGTCCTGACTGTGGGCCAGGCAGGACCAGAAAAACTCTAGCTACAACCTCTTTTAAATCAAATACAGGTAACTTGATTTCTCCTAGAACTATTTTCAAAAGAAAGCAAGATGATTAAAAATAAAACAAACTGACAGCAGTAAGTTGAAAAACTAAATAAAAGAAAACTACCAGCATTCTACACACATCCTCTGTGCAGGACCAGCAGCCAGGCTCCGCCTACAAAGCTCATAACCATAACTTTAGGGCCCTTCCCTATCCGATATGACATAAAAAGTTTCTTTTTCATAAAAACCAAATTTTTCTTCTTTGTACAAGAAAGCCATTAAAATTTTTTATTTTACAACCTCTAATGAATAAACAGGGAGCGGATGTGTTTTCCATCTTAGGAAGACGATTAATTA